AGTACTTGCAGTGTTCCAATTTTGAGCATTTTTAGCTAACAAGTCTAAGTACTACATTTCTTCATCAGGGTCTTTATCTTTAAAAGTTTCATTGCATATCAATTCAACCATTTACTTATCTCTAGGTGTAAACCCATCATAAAAATATGAAACCAATCTCCATGTTTCTAAACCATGATAAGGGCAAGTATTAAGCAAGTCTCGATATCTATCCCAACATTGATAAAATGTTTCTCCTGGTTTTTGAGTGAAAGTGGTGATTTGTCTTTTGAAAGAGTTTGTTCTATAAGAAGGGAAAAACTTCTTTAAAAACTGTTGTTGCATTTCATCCCAAGCACAAATGGATCCTAGTCTCAAATTTTATAGCCATGTTTTAGCTTTATCTTTTAATAAAAAAGAAAAAAGTTTTAATCCGATGATGTTCATGCTACAATTTGAGTATTATAGGTGTTACAAGCCTCCTTAAATTTCTTTAAATGCAAGTATGGATTGTCTAAATCTAAGCCATGAAAAGAAAGTAAAAGTTGAATAATGTTTGGCTTAAAATTAAAATGAGATGGATCAGAGGGGATAACTATACATGATGGCGCACTTGTTCTTGTAGGATTCAAGTAATCTCTAAGTATTCTAATACAGTTATTCTTATTATTCTTATTATGAAGGGATTGATTATTTTCTTTGGCTATATTTTCTAAAAATGATAAGGATACCCTACAAAGTCTACTACTTAATGTATGTGACCACACTCTCATGCACGTATAGTAATAGAATAAAAGGAATAAAAAAACAAAAGAAGAAGAAACAAAATAAAAAAGACAAAGTTAGATACAAAAAAGTAAAAAGTGAAAATAAAATAAATATTATAATATGTATAAGAATTTACCTTCCTGGCAATGACGCCAAAAATTAACACGACCAAAAGATTGATGTCTTCTCCCAAGTGCAGGAGTGTCAAAGTAATAAATAACCCAGCAAGACTGGGGTAGAACCACGTGGAGGTTAATTGTATAAATTATAAACAACAATAATATAACAACAACAACAACAACAACAACAATAGTAATAATACTAATCTACTACTAATAATAGTAATAGTAATAGTAATAGTAAAAAAGAAGAAGAAGAAGAAAAAGAAGTTGATGAAAACTTTGAGATGGAAGATCAATGTAAGGATTAAACAATGATAACAACAAATGTTAAGGTTAGAGGATCCATTAATGGTTTTTCAAACAAGTATAGTATAACTCTTATTACTCAAATAAAAACCACTCATAGAGGAAGTTCCAATCAAATTATAAATTGTTAATATGAGTAGATTAGTTATCTTATTCGAATAATACTAATACTTATAAATGTTGTTAGGTATTCATGATTATAACTTATATTAACAACAAATCAAGTTCCTTTCATAGCACAGATGTCCGTTATACCATACAGTTTATGCAATAAAAGTGCCAAGTATTTGTTATACCAAGTGTTATACAACATAAATCTAGATTAGTCATTTAACAAGCAAAGTATTAAAGAGTGAACAAGATAACAAATACAAAACATGTTAGTATCAAACATTAAAATCCATATTAAGTTTACACTATACTTATTCTTACACCATTAATGTAACCTTTTTACCTTGACATAATAAACTTAGCTATCAGACTTCTTTATTGTTGCTATAATTTGGACTTGAAAACAATCTTTTTAAATCTTGGACTTCCATAAAAGTTGTAGGCCTTTGTCTTACCTTTCCATCCATATAAAATGAACCTTAATCCGAGATCTACAGCTCCATATATGACCCCATTACCAAACAGTGTTTCAGTTTGGACTACACCAGCATATCTTTTTTAAGTTTGACCATCTCTTTGTCCTTTTAATTTCAGTACTTAAACTCATCAATCAATCATTTTATTTATGTGATATGACTATATTTAAGATGAACAATTACCATAAATTAAGGTATCTTATATTATTAGATATGTTATTATAAAACATGCTTTAGTTAAGGAGTTATTGTTATGAAAGTTCTAAGAAATTTTCTCAACTTTCCAGGTAAAATAAATGAGGACATTTGGACTTCTAGAACTCCAAATATGGGCTGAACACTAAACAATGTTTAGGCTACAGGACAGATTCAGACTTCTTTATTGTTGCTATAATTTGGACTTGAAAACAATCTTTTTAAATCTTGGCCTTCCATAAAAGTTGTAGGCCTTTGTCTTACCTTTCCATCCATATAAAATGAACCTTAATCCGAGATCTACAGCTCCATATATGACCCCATTACCAAATAGTGTTTTAGTTTGGACTACACCAGCATATCTTTTTTAAGTTTGACCATCTCTTTGTCCTTTTAATTTCAGTACTTAAACTCATCAATCAATCATTTTATTTATGTGATATGACTGTATTTAAGATGAACAATTACCATAAATTAAGGTATCTTATATTATTAGATATGTTATTATAAAACATGCTTTAGTTAAGGAGTTAATGATATTTTAAGTGCAAAATGATGATATAAAACCTTGATAAAAATGCATTTTTAAGTACTAATCATTACACTATACTTATTCTTATACCATTAGTGTAACCTTTTCACCTTAACATAGTAAGATTAACTAAACATAATGAAAGAGAGAAACATAAATAAACAAGGTAAGAACATAAATAAGATAAAAGTTAAATAAGTAAATGAAATAAAATAAAAGGCATAAACAAGATACTAATAAAAGCAAAACTTAAGCATTACAAAAATACAAAGAGAGAAAGTAAGAGTATGATCTTAATCTGGAAACTAAAATGCCTAAATATATGGCAAATGTCTCCTTTTATAGGTCAAAATTTGAAACTATTGATTTCATGACTAATTGTTGAGTGGGTGACTATATCTTGACTTGGTAACAATCATTATCTTCTTGTCCGAACAAAAAGTTATTGCTACATCAGAATTTAAACAGATTGTCTTTATAAAAGTTCTAGAAAATTATCTCAGGTTTTCAATAAAAAAAAGAAGAAGGTGATTTGGACTTTTAAAACTCAAGATATGGGCTGAACACTGAATAATATATGGGCTACAGTACAGATTCGAACTTCTCTTTTAATGCTAAGATTTGGACTTCCAAAAAACAGAATTGAGTATTGGACTCTCGTGAATGTTTTAGGCATATGTCTTAGCTTTCTAGCCATATAAACCAAACTGAAATCTAAGATCTATAGCTCCAAATATGTCATAATGACTGAACAATATTCCAGTTTGAACTAAACCAACATCTCTTTTCTAAACTTAGCCATCTTTTTGTCTTCTTAATTTCAGTAGTTAAATTCATTAATCAATCCTTTGATTGATGCGATGGTCTGTATTTAAGATAAATATTTACCATAAGAATAGGTGATTTGGACTTTTAAAACTCAAGATATGGGCTGAACATTGAATAATATATGGGCTACAGTACAGATTCGAACTTCTCTTTTAATGCTAAGATTTGGACTTCCAAAAAACAGAATTGAGTATTGGACTCTTGTGAATATTTTAGGCATATGTCTTAGCTTTCTAGCCATATAAACCAAACTGAAATCTAAGATCTATAGCTCCAAATATGTCATAATGACTGAACAATATTCCAGTTTGAACTAAACCAACATCTCTTTTCTAAACTTAGCCATCTTTTTGTCTTCTTAATTTCAGTAGTTAAATTCATTAATCAATCCTTTGATTGATGCGATGGTCTGTATTTAAGATAAATATTTACCATAAATTAAATTTATTTTATATTGTTAGATATGATATGATAAAACATACTCTAGTTATGGAGTTATTAATACTTTAAGTACAAAATATTGATATAAAGCTTTAATAAAAATACATTTTCAAGTACTAATCAACCACTCCATAAGAAAAAGAACATGGAGGCGCTTGCAATGACTTGTTGAAAAGGCATTTTTAAATGCCAGGAAGCCTCTGCCTCATAGAACCGTACACATGCTTATTCTTTTTTTCTTTATTTATCCAAATACCAAATTTTCCTAAGTAGACTTAATAATAATAAAAAAAACCATGGTGAAAAGACAAAAAATCTTTTAACCCCAATTTTTTTTGTTGCTTTTAAGGGCATTTTGCTCATTTAACTTTGCTTTTTAATTGTTTATTATTTTTATATTTGGTCACATATCAAATTGTCCCTTTGGTAACATTATAATAAGTTAAAAACTATTATGAAAATATAAAAATATCTTTTAAGGTCAATTTTAATTTTGTTTTTTTTTGTTTTAATGGTATTTTAGTTATTTTGTTATATAATTAAGATGATAAAAAATTTATTTGTTTGGGTTAATTTAGTTATAATTATTGGATTATGTGAAAATATTTTAGCTTCTTTGGAAGCCAATACTATATTTTATGTGGAGGGACAAAACCTTTATTATATTTTTCTAGTTAATAATATTCATGAGTCCAAAAAGTATAATATTTTTCCAAGACTAATTAGAAATTTTTAAATAATAATAATACTAGTTTATTATTGCATATTGAAAAACTTAATGGGTAAACAAATACAATTTAAATTGCAATAAAATAAATTTACAACATACTAATTTAAGTTCAAAAGATATATATACATAGATACATATATATATATACATACATACATACATATATATATATATATATGTATGTATGTATGTTATTTCTTTTGATGCAAGTACAGTAATTTAGTTTAATTAGAAAATATTTTAATGTTTTGTATTTATAATAATATTTTAGATTTAAATCCATAATCATAGTGATCATACCATAGGAAAACCATTTACCAATTTTTAATTTTGTTTTTAGAGGTGAAATCTCTTTTAGATGATGTTTATTGATAAATTATAACATCATATTTTAGATTTAAATCCATAATCATAGCGATCATGCAAAGGAAAACCATTTGCCAATTTTTAATTTTTAATTGTTTTTAGTTGAGTTAAACATCGAGAGTCAAGACTATATATTAGACGTTCAAACACCTGTAAAGTACACATCGAATTTACGGCAATCAGATCTTCCTCTGCCTTCGAATGTGAAAACCACCGTCTCTCTCTCCTTCTATTCTATCCTTCTTCATCCATAAAAAGAGCACCGAAATCCATCAACAGCTCACCAACACTTTTTATCGGATCGGATCGGATCATCAAGAGCCATGATGTGAATCTCCGCGAAGCCCAACGCATTCCCCAAGCAAGGTTGTTCAGTAATCTCCAATGGCAAAACTCTTAATTTTTAGCACTGCATTTAATTCAAAATCTCACTCCAAATCCCACAATTTGTTGGATTCTATACATTATCTACTAGATCACGAAATATATTCAATTTTCCATAGGATCTTCTCGTTATGATCCTGTGTTTGATATCAATTTGTGTGTAAATGCAGGGGTGTGATCGAAGATTATTGTTTTATTCTGTTGTTGGTGGTGGGGTGAGTTATATAAGAGATGGCTTGGTTTAGCGGGAAAGTATCTCTGGGGAACTTCCCGGATCTAGCAGGAGCGGTTAATAAGCTTAGTGAGAGCGTCAAGAATATCGAGAAGAATTTCGATACTGCTCTTGGTTTTGAAGATAAATCTGATTCTAGTAGCACCACTGAAGGTACCGTACCTACTACTACCTTGTTCTTGGTTTAGATATATTCTGGCTGTTAGAACTTGTGGAATGCTGGAGCTCATGCATACTGTTTTGTTTGTTTATTGAAATTAACTATGTGGTTGATCTCAGTACTTTGTGAAAATGTTAAGGTTTTTGTGCTAAAGCATGGAATTTGATTTTTCAAATGTTGTGTTGAAGCTAGGGAACAAGATGGTTGCATGTTCATTGGTTTTTTTAATGTTCTAACTTATGTGTATTGAGACCCATTTTATTTAGAATCTCCTTTCTATTTTCTTGCTAGCTTCGGGATTATGGCCGGTAATGTCCTTTATGGGGAACAAAAGTGAGGATAGTGCTGATGAATCGTCAGGGAAAACTGTATCTCCACAGAAATTGTCTACTGTTGAGGAGAAAGAATCTCAAAATTCTGACACCCAACAAACCACATCTGCTGAAGAAAATCAAATGCTCGAGAGGAAAAAAGATGCTGAGCATCCAGAGATTGCTGAGAAAAAAGATGTCATTTCAGATACTTGCAAAGCTGAACTTGAATCTGAAATTCAATCAGAGACTAAGGCTGTTGAACCTCCTGAGCCAGTTTTCGATGATGTTAAAGTACCAGAATCAGTTGATGATGTGCAGGGAAAAGAGATTTCAGAGGAGGTCTGTGCTGAAAATTTAGATACATTGGAGGTCAGATCAGAAGCTTCCAGGGTTGATGAAGTTGAGACTCCTTCCATCTTGCATGATGAGTCACATAATGTGTCTCATACTCCTGATAGCACAGATGAACAAGAGACACAAGCTGAGGAGACTGTAGAACAAAGTTCTACTATTCAAGCTGAGGCATCAAATGAACCGCAACCTGAGGCATTGAATGATGTGCAAGCTCAGGCATCAACTGATATCCTAGATGAGGCATCAAGTGATACCCAAGCTGGAGCTGTGCTTGATTCATCCAGTTCACAGCCTGTCAGCGCTGAAGTGAGTGAAATGCTTCATGAATTTTCCCTGTCTGATGCATCTCCCCTAGATGAGGCTTCAGAAATTGTTTCTAGATCAGTTTCCCAGGCAGATGATGTCCACAATCAAACAGTTGGAGGGGACAAGCGAGTCAATGATGGTGAAATTGACATTAAAGATCAACACTTGAGTTTGAGGTCGAATATATCAGACTCTATAGATTCCACGCTTGAACTAGAGAAGGTGAAGACTGAGATGAAAATGATGGAAACTGCACTACAAGGTGCTGCAAGGCAAGCTCAGGTATTACCATGTGGCACAGATATATTATGCAGGAAAAACAGGCTTGAAACTTAGTCTCATTGCTGAATTGCTACTCTTATTGTCAAAATTGGACAACATTACATGTTAATGCTGGACAAAAAAGTCAATTTTGGTCCTTGCTGAGTCATTTAAAGTACACATACTTTTGAAAGATACTGGATCATCTTTTCTCATATTGTTAGAACATTTCACTGGTCGATTCACACAATTTTATCTTCTTGATGGCCCTCTAATTTATTTCAGTGGATAGAAAGATCCTCTCTACTTTTGTATAAGTTTTTATTGTCTTGTTGTTGTTATATACTAAGCTCCACCAACCTTTCTTTCACTTGATTTTTGAATGATTTTTATGCTTGTTTTCTTCTCCTGTGTGCATAACACTTATTTGTAATGGATTGATATCACTGCAACCTGTGAGTGTTAAATGCTGCTGTCGCGTCATATTTCATCGAACTTTTGTCTTCTCACGTTTTTCAAATTATGGTTGTCATTCCATAGTGGACCAACCCAGCCCTCAAGGCACACCACCGTCACCTTTCTGCTCATCAAAAGTGCTATTAGTACCTTTATGATGATAATGTTAGCTTGCGCTTCTCTTCTTTTATTGAGAAGACTATTGAGATTTGCACAACTGAACTTTTGATCAACAAAATTGGTATTTTTAGTGCTAGTTGTCAAAACTAAACTGTTTTGCAATTCTTTTGAGTCTTTGTTAAGCTAAAAGCCAACTCTGATGTTCTTCTTCCAGGCAAAGGCTGATGAGATTGCGAAGTTGATGAATGAAAATGAGCACCTGAAAACTGTTATTGAGGGATTGAAGGTCTGTATAAGTTTTTACTATTTCTACATTCAAGTTAATTTGGATTAGGTACTTTGCGCATATATATAAATTACAGTAAAATGGTTACTTTTGTACTTTTATTTAAAAAAAATTGGGTCTTGCCAATTACATTTTAACTGGATAGTTCATTTAGTTTGTGTTGCCAAGATTGTTCTTGGTATCTTCTGTAAGGGTTGTGTTTCTTGTCTTAAAAGAATTCTTATTATGTTGTTAGTTGCTAGTTTGATGGTAAAAAAAGAAAAAAGAACTGACAGTGATGTTGTATATTTACCTAAATATGTGCAAGCCATTCTCTGAACACTTGCTCTTTAGTCCTTAATTCAACCCAAAATATTGATCGTCATCTGCATGTTTTGCATTAGTTGGGTTTTTATCAAAAAAGTAATTTGTATATATTTTTGTGTTTTTTTTTTTTTTAGAAACTTGTTCAATTATTCATCTCATCAACTCCCCCTCTATTCTGTTATCTCCTTTTCCATTAATTTAGAACTTGATTTTACAAATACTATTGTTGGTTAAAAAGATAGTGATTTCTGTTCACTTTCTTTCTGACCTGAATGACATTTTTACTGCTGAATTTTATGCAACAGAGAAAATCTAATGATGCAGAAATTGAGTCTTTGAGAGAAGAATACCATCAAAGGGTTGCAACTCTTGAAAGAAAGGTGTGCTTCTAAAATTTCAAAATTATCACATGCCATTTATATATATATTCTTTTTGCAATTTTAGGAAAAGATAATGATTGGTTATTGGTTGTGGAGATCGAGTATTTATTAATTGAGGCATATGTAATGACTAAGATGTCATGATTTTTTGCTTATTGACCATATGTTGATCACCGTATGAACGCTGTCTAGCATAGCTTGTGTCCCAAGTGACTTTGGTTCAAATCCTGCTCTCAGCAAGGAGGGGAGGGATCTAGGGAAGTGGAAGCTATCCTCAGTTTTCTTTTTGGTTTTGTTAAGTCCAATTAGCCTCCCAATGAATCAAACAAAAAATGTACGCTGCAGGATATTCCATATAATCCAGAAAGACAGTCTGTCAGTTTTGTGATATTGCTTTTTGTTGGCTATTCTGATAAAGAAGTTTCCATCATTTATCTGCAATACCATTCATGTTGAATAGAGGCAACACATTAGTGCTCGTGCTGCACTATTATAGCTACTAGACTTTGAAGTAATTTCTTACATTGTCTAGCTGCGTGAGATTAGTGGAAGAGGCTTTATGCTGTTTTTGGAATCAGTGGGTGTCTCTGGATTGGGTGGGGGATTTGTTAATAAAGAAAGTGAGCTTTGGGAGGAGGAAGGACCAAAATGTTTTATGGCTTGTGTAGTGTTTGCTCTGATTTGGAATATTTGGTTCCAGTATTTTAAGAACTCTCCCTCTCAAGCCAACTTTTGTGAAATTTGCTTGCTTCTCTACAGCATTTTGCTTCAGGATCTCTTAAAGGAGTATATTTGGCTAATAATCAGCAGACTGGAGTTGCATCTTTTTTTTTTTGTAAATTCATTTCCAATTCTTTGTTCCTGACTATGGAGGATACCTTTACCCCCCCTTTTGATTTGTATTTCTTTTTGGATTTTACTCTTAATAATATTTCCATCATTTTCAAAAAAGAAATGGTTCAAATTGAGAATATATGTGATATTTAAAAGCCTAAAAGTTTTGGATAGTACCAGTGCCTTGTGGTAGGGCTTGTATGCTGTGGTGGTGCGAGAAACTTGCAACTTAAACTCTGAGTTTCAGTCTGATGAGCTCTCCTGTGCTTTTAAAGTTGAAAAGATTTATGTTTTTTAATGGCAATTAGTATTATTGCTTTAGGTTTCTTACTCCAGAGATTAATATTATCTTGGAATGTTTGGTTACAGGTTTATGCTCTTACAAAGGAAAGAGATACACTCAGGAGAGAGCATAATAAAAAAAGTGATGCAGCTGCTCTTCTGAAGGAAAAGGATGAAATCATTAATCAGGTCATGGCTGAAGGTAGAGCCACTCAAGCGTTTATTTTCATGTATATGAATGTTTCTTCATATTCTGATTCTTTCAGAGGAAAAGATACTATAATTTCTCCTACTCTACCTTTTTATTGCATGTCAAGCAGCGATGCAGTGTGAGGGTTTGTAGAACAAGTCAGGATTAAGGTTTTGAGACATAAATACTTGATTTATTAACAATTGAAGATGGGTCTCCTCTTTTTATAACAGTTTTGCATTGGAGGAAACAGTTTTTGATGGAGTTTGCAAAGCAATGTGGTTTTTTTTTTTTTTTCATTTGATCTTTTTATCTGAAGATTTTGTCTATGAATTCCAGGTGAAGAGCTTTCAAAAAAGCAGGCTGCTCAAGAATCTACTATTAGAAAATTAAGAGCTCAGGTATCTACCAGGCTTACTGATTATATGAACTTTTGATGTTTCAATATCTAATAGCAATGCTCCTGCCTTTCTGATCTAAGGAATGTTTTGCTTGTTTCCTCTCTTTTCATGAAATTTTAGATTAGAGAACTTGAAGAAGAAAAGAAAGGTTTGATGACCAAAGTTCAGGTAATTTGATTCTAAACTGTAATGTAGCTTGCTACATATTATCATGACATTTTGACTATTATGCTACCATTGGATTCACGATGAGATGGATTGTTGTACCTGAACTTTTTTGGCATTCATTTTTTGGAAGTTTTCTGTATAAATATATAATAAAAGATATGTTGTCACGGATTTACAGAGATGATCCAGCATTGATAACATGTAGGGCCTTTTGAATTTGACTTGCATCAAATATTTTAATGTTTGTGAAGCATTGCTTAGATTCTGATGTCAGATAAAAGGACTCCTAATACATATTGCTTGCAAATAAATGAAAATCATTTTCTGGAGTGGAGGAACATTTTTTTTCTTAACCTGTAAATTAAATCTCATTCTTTATTAGCTTCTTTGTGTTATAATTCGAGTGAATTGCTGCAAAACACTTCTTGTGTTAGTTTCAGACATCATTTAATTGAAATAACTACCCATTTCTGGTCATTGTTTTGGCATCACCCTGTATTTTATCAACAATTTTTTTTTATCCACTTCCAGGTGGAAGAAAATAAAGTAGAGAGTATAAAAAAGGACAAGACAGCTACAGAGAATTTGCTGCAAGAAACAATAGAAAAACACCAAGCAGAGCTTTCAGCGCAGAAAGTTTATTATACCAATGCCTTATCTGTGGCCAGGGAGGCTGAAGCATTAGCAGAGGCGCGTGCTAATAATGAAGCCAGAACAGAATTAGAGAGTCGTCTAAGAGAAGCAGAGGAACGCGAGACTATGCTAGTTCAGGCACTTGAAGAATTAAGACAAACCTTGAGTCGGAAGGAGCAGCAGGTTCTTACTTGATTTTATTGAGATTGTTGATGTGTGCCTACTAATATGCTGTAAATGACTCTAGTACACACTTTTTGATTGATTTCTGGTTTCACAGGCTGTTTTTAGAGAGGAAATGCTACGCAGGGACGTTGAAGATCTTCAAAAACGTTATCAAGTGTGTTGAACTTTCTGATACCTTGCTGTAAACATGTCATTGCTTTTGCTTTTGCATTATTGTCTATTTACTTTTAGTTGTGATAACTAGTTTTACTTTTTCTCTAGGCAAGTGAGCGCCGTTGTGAGGAGTTGATTACTCAAGTTCCAGATTCTACCAGGCCTCTCCTAAGGCAGATTGAAGCCATGCAGGTGGTTTTATATTTTCATTCTTCTTTATGGTTCCCATTGGTGTCCTTGTGAACCTCAAATTGTAGGCTATTTTTGTGTATGACATTTTGTCACTTGGTATTAGGAAACAACAGCAAGAAGGGCCGAGGCCTGGGCTGCCGTGGAGAGATCTCTAAACTCTCGACTACAGGTACCTGAATTTTATTTCTGGTTATGATATAACATGTGAAACTTGTAAAGACAAATATATTTATTAGTTGTTACATTTTCAGGAAGCAGAAGCGAAAGCTGCTGATGCTGAGGAAAGAGAGCGTTCTGTGAATGAACGCTTGTCTCAAACCTTATCTCGAATTAATGTTCTTGAAGCACAGGTTCATTATCTTTCTATGAAATGTTTTTTGTTAGTGACGAAACTGTTTGATGAATAGTAGCTGAAATTGGGTATGCTCAGATTTCTTGTCTCAGGTCTGAACAAACACAGTTAAGTAGGTCCCTTGAAAAGGAGAGGCAGAGAGCAGCTGAAAACAGGCAGGAATATCTTGCAGCCAAGGAGGAAGCTGACACTCAAGAAGGTCGTGCAAACCAACTTGAAGGACAAATTAAGGAACTGAGGCAGAAACACAAGGAAGAGTTACAAGATGCACTAATACACCGAGAACTTCTACAACAGGTACCACCCTTGGGTTTCTTTTTACTCGTGTCTATCACAGTTAATTAGGTTGCATGTGTTTATATTCCTGGTATACTTTGCTTTTTAGTTTTTCTTCCATTGCCAACTGCATTATAAACACAATTCAGTCTTGACAATGCTTAGAAGAACATGCTCAACTTGATATGTCTTAAAAAGTGAATCCATGGAAAGGGCACATATTGATGTTTTGTCTGTGCAGCTGAAGAACTTGCTTCTTTTCAATTAATGAATTTTCCCTTCATGAACATGATCTTTTCAATCTGTTAGTAAGAAGATCATCTTGACATTAGTTGAAGCCAATATGAAGTCTATTAATTTAATCCACATTTGGAATTCATTTTAAGCTGGATGGTTTTGTAGAAGATAATTTCGGCATTGCTATACAGATTTCTCTGAAATTTTGGATGGTTTTTAAGCTGGAGATTTCTTTGAAAGATTAGAACAAAAGCTATCTTCCTACTTTATCATATGCACTTAAGTTGCAATGCTGTTTGGAAGATTCATGATTTAAGCTCTTATTTTATTTCAGGAAATTGAAAGAGAGAAAGCTGCTCGGTTGGAGTTGGAAAGGACAGCTCACATCCATTCTGCTTCTGCATCTGATAAAACTCCTATTGCAAGGAGCAACTCTGCTTTTGAGAATGGTCTGCTTTACTTTTGAAATTTACACCAGTTAACCTTATTATCATGTTCATATATTTTTTAACATTTTGCTAATTTTGCAGGAAACTTAACCCGAAAGCTCTCCAGTGCTAGTAGCCTGGGCAGCATTGAGGAGAGTTATTTTCTGCAAGCATCTTTGGACACATCCGACAGTCTTTCTGAACGGAGGAATCCTGGAGAGGCAACCATGAGTCCTTACTACATGAAGAGCATGACACCTAGTGCTTTTGAATCTGCCCTTCGTCAGAAAGAGGGTGAACTTGCATCATATATGTCTCGTTTGGTAAGTGTATTTTTTTTCTTGAACTTAATGCTTAAAGGATCACTTGTTATCACATATTTTCAATCTGTATGCTGTATTGTGCATTCTGGAGCTAAGTTTTGCTGAGTGCACACTGTGGGGATCTGTTGCATTTGGATTATCATCTGAGTTTATGATTACAATTTCCATGTGCAGCTCTGATGAATTATTTACATTTTTTATATGCTTCAGGCATCCATGGAATCTATCCGTGACTCTCTTGCAGAAGAGTTGGTCAAAATGACCGCACAGGTGAGTTTGTACATGTTCTTTAGTGAGTCACATTTACAGCAAAGGCAATTCCTATTTTTTATTGTTCTCCATTATTTTTCCATTTAATTGAGTTCAATGAATATTTTGATCCACTGCAGTGTGAGAAATTACAGGCAGAGTCTGCCCTTTTGCCTGGTGTACGGGCAGAACTAGATGCACTGAGGAGAAGGCACTCTGCTGCCCTGGAGTTAATGGGTGAACGTGATGAGGAAGTATGTATGTCTATCTTGTTTGGAAGTTCCTTTGATTGCAAACAATTTTATCAGCCTTAATGTTCTCATGGAATAAATTGTCTGGTTTGCTGTTGATGTTTTCTAGATCTTATTGCATAATTGAAATGCGCTAAGCCTCCTCAAAAGTTTTTAAGCCAGTTTTTTTTATCCTCGAAGGAATGTTTTGATTAGCTTATTAAAGAAATGCATTTTCCTTCTGACGCCCAGAAATGCAGTATTGGCTGTGGAATTAAGTTCTCCCTGAAACATGATTGATCATTTTTACCCTATGGCGTCTTCATTATTAAAAAAAAAAAAGGTGTAGAGACTGTACAATGCATTTATCTACCGGAGTGCTTTAGATCTTTGTTTCTTGTTCTGCTTCCTTTTCTTAAAACTGCTCTTCATGCAATATGCACCAATCGAATGGAGTTCTTGAAGAAATGAAAAGTGAAGCAGGGGCTTCAGCATGAATTTTGTCTAACACAAATGGGAAGAATAACACTCGGACTGAATTTTTCATGTAATTGTGTTGAAAGACTCTTTGCCAGATATTAAATTTTATTGATCACAAATATACTTCTATCGAGATTTCTATTTTCTGATTATGGAAGTGAAATTTCTTGATGCCCTTTATATGGTTAGATGGAATTTCTTGATTATAGTCGTGGAATTTGTGTTATATCTGATAGCCTGACTTTTTGATGGCTGCATATTTCCAGTTGGAGGAACTCCGTGCTGATATTGTAGACTTGAAAGAAATGTACAGAGAGCAAGTAAATTTGCTTGTGAATAAGGTACTTCCTTTCAATCTCTTTATTTTTTCTTTTTCCCCAAGCGCGTCCAGAACTTGTACTCTTTCACTCTATGTTTCATTTTTAGGCCTGAGTTCTTTTTCACTATTTGTTTCTGTGCTTGTGCTTGCAAATTGTTGACAGATCCAAATATTAAGTACATCCTCTGGCAATGCCTGATGAGTTGACTCAACGAAATGTGGCATTTGCCATTTATTGTGAAGCTCATGGTATAGGATGTCTGGTAGATGTGATTTTGTTCGAACATTTGCCCCCCCTCTATACTTGTGATTCGGGGCAAGCAGCTTCTCAAGTGTTTTGGGGGATCCTTTTTCATGAAGTCCAAAATTGTATTGTAATTGAGATGAATTTGTTGTATAGCAAAAATCAGATCGTGACAAATTTGTTTCTCCAGCTTGAAGATGATTTTGAGTTTTTGGATTTATTTAGTGATGATTCAAATTTTTCATTACAGTCTTAACCTTAGCTGCTTTCATTTTAATTATTTATGAAGCTGATGAGGTTAACAGAGGCTGTTTGCTGTTTGTTTGGAAGTGTGATTGTGTTTAATTTTTAAAATATTTTTTATTTATAAATATATTAAAATAAAAAATAATAGTTTTTAGGTTTTAAAAATTATTTTTGATATTGGTGTATTAAAATGATCTAAAAATAAAAAAAAATATTAATTTAAAGTAAAAAAAAAATTGAATTTTCTCATAGTATTTTTAAAATGTAAAAATAAATATTAAGCTTTTAAGGTTGATCTGGTGGCAAAATCATTATGCCTATGGTCTGCTTGTTCTATTGATTGTAGTTTTGTATATACTTCCTCTTTATATTTTTTTCTATCATTGCAGACATTTTACAAGAATTTTAAGGTTGATCCGGTGGCAAAATCATTATGCCTATGGTGTGCTTGTTCTATTGGATTGTAGTTTTGTATATACTTCCTATTTATTTATTTTTTCTATCATTGCAGACATTTTACAAGTTTTAATGTTCTTGAAGAAAGAAGCATTCTTGATTCTTTCACTGAAATTAACTTTCTTATATTTTTGTTCATTCCAAAAAAATATTATATTTGATCAATATAGGTTAAATAAAGATTTCATTTTTGGATTAGTTATTCAGCATATATAATAATATAATTGAAACAATGATATGGTAAATGAAAAAAGATTTATTTAGTCCATTAATTTTTTCTTTGTAGTTATTTTAGTTTTTATAATTTTAATTTTAATCTAAAAATTTAATTTGTTCATATTTTAGTTTTTAGGCTTGAGAGAATATAAAGAAAGTTGCTTGAAAATAATGAAAGAAAAAGAAAGAGGGCGGTTGGTAAAATAATAATATTAATAAGTTTTATTCAACGAAAATAATATAATAAATAAGGTGTTTATTTCTAAAAATATTAAAAAAAATAGATTGAGCTTCATTTGTTTTTCTATTTGGTTGATTTTCAATTTATAGAGTGATTTTGGGATGGGTAAGTGATTTTTCAAGATTTATATCATGTTTTGGAGATGTTTTCAGTTAAAATCAATTAAAAATTGAGTTTTTTCAGCTAAAAAAACTTAAATTCTAATTTATTGACTACTGAAAAAAAAATCAATCATTTACTTTAGATAGGAGTGGAGCACTACCAAGGAAAAGTTTTTTTAAAAAAAAAAATAGAAAGTGTGGGCTAGGTTGGCAAAGCCACGTGTTAGGTTAACTATATTTGTGTTTTTGATTTTTTTTTTATTGATTTTTTGATTTTTTGATTTAATTTTAATTTAATTTATATTTAATTAATATTAAATTAAATTTATAATTTATTTTGATTTATTTTTTTTTAAATTTTTATATTCTCAATTAATTGCAAGAGCACTTCATTTCACGGGTGTTCATTTTCTATAATTAAATAAAAAGTAAGAAGGATACAGCCAGAGAAAGAGCCACTGAGCGGTTTAATAGATAGTAAAAGTGTAAAACTTGAAGGAGAAAATCAGAATTTGAAGTTTAATTTCACACGGATAGATTTCTGTCCCCTATATTTACTTCCTTATTCAAAGACAAACGCGATTTAGTTAAAGCAAGCTACTGAAAAATCTTGTCGCGACTCCTTTGAGATAATCTTATTATTGATCTTGTGAATTTAAATTAAGTTATGAATCATACTCGGTTTCACGAGGAATAACCCTAGTCTATGATGGGTTGCTCGAAAATTGATATGGCACTTAAAAAATGGGACCGATTTTCCTCGGAAGGCTTTTTCTTGACCTAATGGTTTTCAACTTTGTAAGCTGTTCCTGAACCCGATGGAATCTGCGATTCCAAGTGCCTTCATTATTTATACAACTCAATAATTAATTAGTTGATATAGGTTTGGGATAATAAAAAAAACCTAGTAAATTTAATTAAAAAGGAATTTTAAAAACTTAAGTTAACTTCACCAATCTGGTATTGGAATAATTAAATATAAAAAAATAAAGAAAATAACAAAACTTGAGGGAAAATAATTTAATGTAAAATGATGAAATAAAAAAAAATAATAAATTATCAAGGTAAAAAAAAATAATTTGAGTCAACCCGAACTAACTTAACTAAATTGTCATTTATATATTAAATTGCCATTTATACATTAAATTGAGATAAAAAAAAATAAAAGCCATAAAAATTCAAGGATTAAAAAAAACAAGTCAATCTAGGTTAATTCGACTAATCTGCCACTAGCGATATGAGATCGAGATCAAGAAAAATAGACGTTTAAGAGAAGAACATAACAACAACCAAAAAAACCAAAGTTAAATTAAAAAAATATTGAGTAAGAAAATACAAACTAACCTGAGTTAACTTGATTAAAACGCACTTTAGATAACTCAACAAAAAAAAGTAAAAAAATTACATAGCTCAAGGTATAATAATTTAACACCAAAGGATGAAAATGTACAAAAAAATCATAAAAAAAGTGAGAAAAATTTTTTGAATTAATTATGGTTAACTCTTAATTAACTTATTTTTTGAGATATGAAATTGGGATAACTTAACTAAAAAAAATAGAACAAATAATAAAGTTAAGAGCCTACTAACCAAATATCAAATGATGAATTAAAAAAAAATCTCATTAACGAATTGTCTTATTTGAAGGTAACCATAAAAAAATAATAAAGTAAAATATCAAACTGTAAAATAATTTAAAACCCAAATAATGCAGACCAATATGGTATAAAAACAAAATGAAAGGTAATAATTAGGGGCTAAATTAAAAAAAAAATTATACATAAAAAAAAAAGTAATTGAAAGAATGAGGACTAAAACTTGATAAAAAAATCAAATGAAATTAAATATTAAAGGAAAAAATTGAAAAACTAAAGATAAATAAAAAATAAGAATATAGCAATAAAAATAATAGGGATAAAAATGGATTAAAAAATAAATGCAATAAAATGGTAAGGGAAGAAATTGCAAAAAAAATAATAATAAGAAAAGTACAAAATAAAAAAATAGAGAAATCAAAAGAAATTAAAAAAAAATTATAAAATACAGAAATAAAGAAATCAAAAGTGAAGGGATCAAATCAGTTAAAAAAATCAAATTGAATAAAATACTCATGGAAAAAACAAAAAAAAAAGCTAAACTTCAAAAAATATCAAAAGCTAAATAAATAATAATCTAAAAAAAAGGGGCCAAAATCAATAAAATTATAAATCAAAGCACACAATTGTTTTATGGAAGGTTAGGCATGAATTTAAAGAGCTTGAGAGAGAGAGAAAAGAGAAGAAAGAAAAGAAAAAGAAATTTTATTTTAGCTAGTTGTTCATCGGAACCTCTAAAATATAATTCTGATTTAACTATCATAAATAAAATAAATTTATAATATGATCATGAAAACCAGATCGAACTTAAGAAAATTTTTGTTTAATCATCTTACAATAAACTGAAATGAAAAAGAACAGGGGATTTGAATGAAAAATTACATAAACAATAATTCTAAAAATAATAGATTAATATATTGTTAAATTAGACCAAGGATCCACACATCCATTTATATAAATTTATTAATCATTGAAGTAAAATAAATATTCTTTCATGTCAAACAAATAAATTCAATATTTCTTAAAATTGAGGGAAATTGATGAAATTACAAGTAAATTTATTAAACAAACCTCTCTAATTAATTTTTTTTACCATCAAACAAACTTAATATTGAAAACAATTTTCTTTCACTCGATAGTAGTCTTAGAAGTAAAATGTGTGCTTTTATTTTAAGCAAACATTCAAAAGTTTCATAATGTAACTTAGTTTATTCTTCCATAATAAATCAAGATGAGAGTTATAAAATCAAATTAATTCTTTTGTTTCTTACTCTAGTCTCTAACAACAATTATAGATTGAAAAAAACTAGAAAACTATATGCCATCTAAAAACAATTCAATAAATTTAAATAACAATCAATAACATAATTCTAAATAAGGAAAAATAAATACTTGGGTCTAAAAGAATTATTATGATAATATTACTTTTCATAACTTGCTAATGAAGATAATGTGTATTCCTCTTAAATCAAAATTAGGAATTTAGTCATAATTTGCTGGAAAATTGACAAAAACAAAGAAAAAAAGAATGTTGCAGAGCCTTTATTTCAGCTGTGTTCTACTCTATTTATTCTTTCCCTTGGCTGTCAAATTTTTTGAGAATTCTTAGGCTAATTAGAAGTTCTTATGCTACTAAACTCTTTTTTTCTTTATGTAATCTTTAAGGTTGGTTAAATCTCTTAAAATTTATATTGAAAACGGACTCTATTGCTATAATTCCAATTCTGCTGCAACTTATACTTTGTTTCTTGCAATACTCAACCATTCCTGCTACATTTTTTCTTTCATTGCATGTTAAAGGCTTGATTTGCACCTTTTTTGGGTCCTAAGGCCCAACATTTTTATGCCAAAAACTTAGCCGTAGTGAGATTCTTGACACCATTAGTTTTCTCATCAAATCAGGAGACCAATCTCGTCCTTCAGATTGTGTCTAGATTTTGGCATTCAAAACAATTTTATCTAACTTAACATCCTTCATGAAGTCTTGGATGTTGATGATTTTGGGCTTTTGAATTGTATAATTTCAATGTCTAAGGCTCAAGATATGATTGTTTGAATTTGTAGTGTGAAAGTAGAGAATCCTGCTATAATGAGGGTTTCAACCCGACTTTGTAGATCTGATTAGAGATTCAAATGAACTTGAATTTTTTCCCATAATACCTTCTTGAAAAGCTTGATATGTGTACTTTAATTTTTATTTAGCTTATGTTCATATTCTAAAATTATAACTTGGTGAAAAACTTATCACAAGAAGCAAAGTTTGAACAAAAAAATGCAAAAAATCATATTTTTTAGCAATTAATTCATAAATTCTTGTCGGCATGCCAAACCATAAAAATAACTTCCAATAAGCTTAAATAAACTCAAAATGCATTAAAAAACATAGTGTAAAAGGAA